CGTGTTGCTCTTGGCAGGATAAAAATGAGAAAATGCTTGGGAGGGAGTGGAGGCGAGATCTGATGGGATCTTTCTCGCAGGGATTCCGTTTGTGAGGCCACCAACTGACATTCAAAAGAAGCCAGAAACTGAAAATAGGATCATGTTGAAGTTGGATCGAACATGTCATAGTCCGTCAAGTCATTGTGGATATCCGATGTGAATGTGAGATTCTACCAGTGAGTTAAGCAAAAAGTGAACCTTAGCATATTCACGCTTCAGCAGATTTCCTTAAAATCTTGTTTTCTCACATTTTTTTTTTTTTGTGTGTGTGTCAGCGCAAAGCAATAAAATATGACACTGGTACCATTGAGTGGAGTCTCGTTGTTTGGTTAAATTCATTGAAAGTGTTTTTTTTTTTCTGCGTATGAAACGGACGTCCTGTTTTGTTGGCTGTTCTTCAATGCGCTTCTTGTGCAGTCATAGATGAAAGTGTTTCCGCTCGTCTCCCGATTCAGCTACCAATAGCCCGAGGAGTCTACTTTGCTGTTCGAATTTCACGAGCAAATATTGTTGTGTGTAGTTGCCAAAACGTGAGTTTTATGTCTTAATACTGTTTATCTAAAGTGCTAGTTAAGTTGTGGTAGCTTAATTTTCAGGCTAGTACGCTAGCTTATAATATTGACGAGCCTCATGTGAAGGTGGTTTGTTTAAGATGAATCATCATGAAGCGACCGACTGACGTCCATGTAACGGGTTCATGATTGTGTACATGTGAGATGCTTGGTGTTGATGGTTTATGATCGTCTCCGTTTGAAATGCTTTGTGGTCCACAATTACAGTAAAGTGGATGAAACAATGAATTGAAAGATCCCATCACCAGTGAATGACTTTTAATCAAATATGTAATCGAACGCGACACCTATCAAATGATGTAATCCAACATGAGTATTTTGTGCCATCATGGAGGGAGGGGGGCACAGTGTGGAATCTGAAAAACAAACAAACACTTTTTAATGTCTGCGAGAATGAATACAACTCTGGCAGTGTCAATCACAACTTCACGTCTCGTTTTGAAATCCAACTCATGATCTGGTGGAGGTGTAACGTTGTGGTCAGCGTGCGTCGACGTGTGTGTGTGTGTCGGCTTATTTTTCAGAGACTCCTCGAAGGTCCCCGCATATCCCCGGAGGCATGTTTTTCATCACGCAGCAGAACACAATGATCCCAAAAGCCTCTCAGAATGTTTCAATTCATCTGCAATGTGCGGTGAGTGAAAAAACAGTCGCTGACCTCAAATGGAAGCGTCTGCATCGGTTTCTCCTTCCACACGTTCATTTTTTTTCCCCGCCCTCGCCGTCTCGCCCCGGTGATGTACGCCGCACTCTTTTGCCTGTGCCTCAAAGATTTCAATCTGGCCATCGTCGGCGCACCTTGCTGTGAATCTAGCGTTCCCCTTTGACCACCTTTTTATAAATCACTTTTCGCTCGATGGAGCGGTGCCAAACTCCCCGCGGTGCTTCAGATTAAAATGGTAAATTCCACCTTTCAGTCCTGCTAGGAGAATCTGGATCACTTCTCCTCAGGACCCCCCCCACACTCATTCCTCATCTCCATAATGACTTCACTTCCTATGAATGCAGCACATCGTCCGTCTGACTGTCTCTGTTTCACCGATGCTAAGGGACTCGTGAGTGACGGCTGCTCACATTCGGGTTCTGTTTTATGTTCCGGTCACTTCTGAGGCTCTGAAAGATTAGAGGAGAGGCCGGCCTGGTTTAGCGGGATTTAAAGCGGACATCAAACTGTGGGGGGGAATTCAAATTAAAATCACTACTTTTAATTTTGCTTGAGTTAGCCAACACTCTAAAATCATTTTGCAACATTAGGAGTTGGTTAATCATGTGAAAAATAGCGGATGACAAGGGGATAGACCAAGAATATTTGAAAACATAAGGAAATTGACCATATTTCAGAGATGAAAGTCCTCCGGATTTTCCCGGAATTCCGGGTTTTTCAAATTTTTATGAAAATTTCTCCGGAGAATTGAGGAAAATTTGCATAATCCGGATATTAGTTGACAACATTGAACGAAGACGCGTTTTAGTTCGTTGTATTGCTTTCACGAGCGTAGCCATATTGAGGCACTAACACTAGTAACAGTAAAGAGATTTTTGTTTGTGTAATAACAACAGAAGGCATGATGGCGTTTGACTAATGGTTTAGTAGAACGAACGGCAACTCGCAACAACAGTAGCAAGCGTCATTTTGCCTCTTGGGTTATACCATCTCAACTAGAACGCGGGGGATAGTCCCCAAACAATTTTCGTCTCTTTATAAACACACCCGCTAAACCCCAGTGGAAAGAATAAAAGAGGCCGTCAACAAGACAGTTGTCGTAAAATATATATTTGGCCAAAAAGGGAAAAACACAGATAGGAAGAAAATCGTGTCCGTCTGACTTCGAGTGTCGTCTCGGCTAACTTAGCTTAGCTGTTGTCGTGTGTGACGTCATTTGCGTCGGCGCTGATTGGTTGAAATCAAAAAACGCGCTTGCGTACATGTTCGCGCTGAAGCACGCACTGCAGAGAGCAGCGGACTATCTACTGCTGAGGCTCACAGCGCACTTGTCAGCCCACATCCGTACGCATCAGATGTGGGAGTTCTGTTTCTGGTTGGAATTTGCAACGGAGTTTCGAATCGCCCAAATGGATGGATGCATGTGGAACATTGACACTATTTTTTGAGTTAAATTTGACCACTTTTGCTTTTAAACGTAATG